TCTGGGAGATTATTTCTGCTTTGAATTTTTCTAGAGCCTCATTCATCTGTTTTGTTACTTCCTGTGCTATCAGTTCAGGGTGTCCAGGTGGTTATCAGACTTTTGCACCTCATTTCCCCCAGAAATTGCCTTTTGTGGGGTGGAAGTCTGGGTTTGTGACTTGCTTAAATGCCTTCTGATTTTTTGTTTTTGTTCTGTCCTTGGTTAAGTTCCTGGGTTGATATTATGAAGTTTATTGTAAGTATCTTTGTTGATGAATTTAAAACTCTTATGGAATGATTGTTTCTCAGAGGGGTCTTCCAGATATAGCTGGTCTTTAGGTTTTGAGTCTCTGGTGTCTCGGAGGCTATCTCATTTTCATTATACCAGGAAGGAAAACTGTTTAGATCAATCAACCTTAGCCCAAGTCATACAATCAGCAACACCATAGCCTCAAATACCACTTAGAGAATGACAATTTGGGGTAGTTATAAATCTATCATGTTTAAAAATAATGGGCCTCCTTCAAGGTGTGTCTCTGCTGTCTGAATAGACAATGTGGGCAGCAGTGTGCAGTTATAAGTCAAGGAGACTCAGTAAGCTAGTACCAGACCTGTGAGATTCAGGAAGATTTATTGTTGCAATTCCCAAGTTGAGCTCCCTGTCCTCTTGCAGCATGGCACTCTGCAAGTTTCTACTGCAGGTTTCAGCTATCTTTCCCGTGAAGAAAGTCCAGTTTTCAATGGGAGCTGATGATCCCTCCAAATTACCAATCATGGTGGTCTGGTGTGCCTTTATTGCAGAGATTCCCTTCACTTTTCTAGTGGGCTTGTTTTCATCAGGAACCCTGAGACAGGTGCTCTCTCTGTTGTTCACTTCTGGTGCTCAGGACAATGGCTTTTATGTCTCCCTGTGCCTCTGCAGTATGCAACCAAGTAGTTGCTCAGCCAAAGGGCTAGAGGTCAGGTGGGGCACTGTTGTTGGAGGCACCTGAATGGCCAGGTCATCAGCTGGTGAGCCTGACTAGGGGCATCCTCCTCACCCTGTCCTGGTGGCTGCTCCATTTATATATTATTTCATGGAAGAGGAACAATGAAGCAAGCAGGTGCCTAATATGAAGGGGGATTGTAAGGATTTTATTCTCCCCTCCCTCTGTGAAGTCCTTTAGCTGCATTGGGCTGAATGGGCCTGCCTACAACTTACCATCCTCTAGGACAGAAGTTAAAATCCTCCCCTCCTACCATGGGTGAGAATATCAGGAAAGTGTCCTATTCATCACCACGGATGTCACAAGGGGGATGGAGGGCCAATATGATTGCCAATACGAATCAGAAGAGCATTCAGTACCATGTTCCTATTGGCAAAGCAGCACTGCCCATCCTACAGTTCCCAAGGGGAACTGTTTTACCTGCTACTCACTCCAGATACTGAGTTAAACTAACCTTAGTATGCACACTTTGCTATCACAGATGACAGATATCGCTATCAATATAGACATATATCAAGACAGTCACATAGACGAATGCACTGAAGTGGACCTGTTTATTTTATGGTGAATGTAGCTGAATATTTCACACGAATGTTCCCAACTCTATTAACACATGGACCTCTCTATCCTCTTTTCTCTGACCTCTCACCTGTCACTTGCCAGCCTCAGCTCCCTCACATAAGGAGCCCTCTCCTGAACTTCTCCATGGCGGACAGAGGGGGTCAGGCAAACTTGACTTTTCAAACCATTCTGAAGCACAAGCTTGGAGCTTTCCCACTAAGTTGCCCATGATGACCCAGGGAACACAGGAACTTGATTTCTACAAGACCCCTCTGAAGGTGGCTCCCTCTTGAACTATGGATGACTGAGGACAGCATTTATACTTAGAAATTGCTTCTGCTTCCTGTCCTGAGGCCTGAGGTGGAGGCTTTGCTGGGCTTCTCCTGAAAGATTTTCCCATACAGCATGAAATAACTTTTCATGATCTAGATTAACTTACTGTGTTTTTGTTCTGGCCTCATGTAATAGTTTAGCAAGAATTGCAGTGCTTCAGTGTGCTGGATCAGAGGAGTTACTGAATGAAACACACAGCACACTGTATTGCACTTGCTGATTCATACTTGTGTGTGTGGAGCAATATGGACACAGCTCAGTAGAGAATTCATCCTTGGAGTTATTCCCCACTTCTGTCCTCAACTGCCATGAAGTGAGCACATTTGATTTGAAATTTCTTCCTTGATCCCAGCTGATCTTCAAGGGAAATATTTGAAATCATTAGAAAAATTTAAACTCTATCATTTTGTTCTTGTATTATTTGTTGCCTCAACCAGAATCCTGGACAATGTATAGCCATATATATTGTAAATGCTTTTCTGTATTATAAATTTTCCTAATTTGATGTCCCTTCACAAAATTAAATTCTTTCACTCACAGATGGCTTAAAATTGTCTTTCCCATTGGTGTATTCAAATGTGATGAAAATAAGGATTCTTGAAATATAGGAGGCACACAATGCATTTAATGAAAGCTCCCAAAGGAATTATTATGTTATAATATTGCTTATACAAATTTCATAAACATGAAATTTCATGAAATAAAAAATTGATTCATGAAAGGGTTACTTTCCATTTTTTCAAAATATTGTACTGAATATTCATTCTAACAAGGTTTGTCAGTTTTTTATATGCAGCTTGCTCTTATTATAGCCCAGAATATGTTGTGAGATACTGAATATCATTAATCAAAGAATTGGCTCAATTTATATGATAAAAATGGTTGTGGACGTGACTTTGAACAAACTAATTCAACTCTGTACCTTTTGGGAGAAATCTCAGGTGTTTTTAGATAAGAAGTGAGAGATCCTGCATCTATCCCCACAGTGTACTCATAGGAAAATCTAAGGTCACAGGACATCTAAATGCCACAATCAGTAGTTTCAGTAATTGCCCCTGGATCTTATGCCTTGGTAACCTGAGGAAAATGGAGAGGAAATTCAAGCTCTCTGTCATATCATCCCATGCCATGTATGTGACCTGCTGAAATTGGTAGGAAGCCATGGAGTGGTGAAGCAAGCTGGGTGGAAGAAATTCTCTAAAAATTAAGACTAGTAAGGGACCTCAATATCTATGGCCATGACAAGGTTTTGGGGCCTAAATTCATTCATTTGAACCTGCATTCAATATTACAAAAGAACTCTCAAATTTCTTTCTAATGTTTTATTAGTGAAATAATTAAAATCACAGTTTTTTATTCTGTACATAAGTTGCATTGAATTTGTATTTTGGAAAGTTAATTGCTTTCTCTCACACATCTATATTTGATATTTCTAGGTAATCACACTACCCTATATTAATATGCTACATTTTTCATAAATAATTATATCAGTATTCTGAAATATCTGCCTTGTAGTTTTTTGTATTTAAGAGTGGATGTATATTTTCATATAGTTTCTAAGTGTAAGCTCTCTAATATTTCTTCCAATGGCTTATAAAGTGGTTAACTTTTCTTGGCGAGAACCTTCATGTGACTGTGAGCAAAGTAATCATTTTGAACTTTGCTTTATACATGACATGGAGCTTCCGGCCTAGTGTGCATACTCACATTTCCATACATGCTGCTATTTAAGTAAAGAGATGATCATTATTTTGTTAGATTCCAGACTGAAATATCTGAAATCTTGTCAGTCAAATATCTGAGATGTTGCATCATGGCATGGCATATATAATTGTTTATCCCAAGTCCTTACTTATGTTGATTGAGGAGCACATCCACTGAAAAATTTTCCATATCATTAACTGAGGTTGTGTTTGTTCAGTTTCACATTTTGCAGGGAACCCTGAAGTATATATCTTATTCATTTTATTAATATTTTTGCAAAACAGGGGAGACTGTGTGCTACAGGCATTAATTGTAGTACTTTGTGAGCAGTCTGTCACAACAACAATGGTCAGAATGATGGTAGAATCTTTTTTCATTCAGGGGAGATTCTTATGTCTATGGTGAGTTTATCTCCATTGTAAGATTTTTCCATCAGGTATAAGATTGGCCTAAGGCTTTTCACTCAGATGACATTTATGTATTTTCTTTGGTATGTGAACTGTCTCATCATTGTTATGAGTGTTCCCCACACATATATTCTCAGTATGATTTGTGTGCTGTGAGATTTCTCTGATGCCTACTAAGGTTAGATGAATACATGAAGACATTTCTAGTTAGAATTCATATGATTGGTTTGTCTAATGTGTTCTGAAATGCATATTAAGTCTATCTATACCTTTGATTGAAGTTTTTCCCACACATAGGATACTCAGATGTTTTCTCTCTTGTGTGAGTTCTCTCTGGAAGACTAAGTAACATAATTTACTGAAGCTTTTCCAAAAAAAGAGAATGTTCATGATTTCTCTCTAGAGTGTGTTTTCTCATGTCTCCGAAGTCTAGATAATTGCTTGAAGGCTTTCCCACACAGTTGACATTTATATGGTTTTTCTCCTGTGTGTGTTCTCTCATGTTCTCTAAGGTGACTCAATTGAGTGAAGGCTTTCCCACACAGATGGCAATCATATGGTTTTTTTCCTGTGTGTGTTCTTTTATGCTGGGCAAGGGAAGATGATTGAGTGAAGTCTTTCCCACACAGATGGCATTCATGTGGTTTTTCTCCTGTGTGTGTTCTTTTATGCTGGACAAGGGAAGATGATTTAGTGAAGGCTTTCCCACACAGATGACATTCATATGATTTCTCTCCTGTGTGTGTTCTTTTATGCTGTTTAAGGTTAGATGATTGATTGAAGGCTTTACCACACAGATGACATTCAAATGGTTTCTCTCCTGTGTGGGTTCTTTTATGCTGTTTAAGGTTAGATGATTGATTGAAGGCTTTCCCACACAAATCACATCTATATGGTTTCTCTCCTGTGTGTGTTCTTTTATGCAGTAGAAGGGCAGATGATTGAGTGAAGGCTTTCCCACACAAATAACACCTATATGGTTTTACTGCTGTGTGTGATTGCTTATGATTTCTAATGGTAGATGAATCAGATAAGGCTTTCCCACACAGATAACATTCACATGGTTTCTCTGCTGTGTGGATTCTTTTATGCTGTTTAAGGGTACATGATTGAGTGAAGGCTTTCCCACACAGATGACATTCAAATGGTTTCTCTCCTGTATGTGTTTTCTTATGTTGACTAAAGTGGTTTGATTGTGTGAAAACTTTCCCACACAAATCACAACTATATGGTTTCTCTCCTGTGTGTGTTCGCTTATGATTTTTAAGGATACATGAATCAGTGAAGGCTTTCTCACATAGATGGCATTCATATGGTTTCTCTCCTGTGTGAGTTTGGTTATGTCTTCTGAATTTAGATGAATGATTAAAAATTTTCCCACACTGCCGGCATTCAGACTGCTTCTCATGTGTCTGTGTTCCCACTTGCTGATAAAAAATAAAAGAAGGACTGAAAGTTTTTCTGTACATGCAACCTTCATATGGCTTTTCTACTATGTTAGTTTTAGTGTGACCTCTAAGCTCAGCATAACTTGTGAAGCTTTTACCACTTTGATGACATTTGTTTGAATGTATTCCAGATTCAGTCATTTTGTTTCTTCTATGCAGGAATTCATGGTTGTAGGTTTCGCAAAACAGATGATTTTCATAGTTATTTTCCTGAATATTTTCCCAATCCTGTAGTATAAGTTTTAAAGTTTGATTAATGTCTTTGCCACATAAACTTCCTAAGAACATTTGTTATCTAGTGTGTATAGCTTATGACTCATGAGACCAGAACTTGGAGGAAATACTTTCTCAAATAGACAAAAATAATATCACTACTCCCCACTGTGAATCATACTACATTTTCTAAGGTGTGACCAGTTATAATATATTTCTCATTAGATATTCATATGAATATGCCATGATGAAATTTTGTTTTCTGTTTCCACATATGAGTACTGACTATGAGGTTATTCTTACACTATGTTTATGCAATGTTTATTTGCAATGACAATTAAGAAGTGAGGAGTCAAGGCCAAGCAGTGATTAAAGTCTTCCTTTACACCAATTCAGGGGATTTTTTTGTACCAGGGATCAAATTCAAGACCTTGCTCTTGCAAGGCAAGCTGGACACCACTGAGCTAAACCCCTGGCCCTGAAAGGACTTTTCGACAACAGCTTACTTTTGGTAGAAAATCACTTGTTGTTCTTAATATACCCAGGTATATTTATATGGTATTTTCTCCATATGAGAATTCCCAAATAAATACTGAAATCTAGAGATATGGGTTTTTATTTTTCCTTACATAAGCATGTGACATTTCTATCAGTTAGTAATTATTTTTTATTTGTACTATCAAATCCAATGACATTTTTATTTCATTTTGGATCTTGGATACATTTGCAAGTGTATCTACAAGATTTTTACTTTTTTCTGAGTTTACAAAGTGGTTCTCAATTCATCTTAATTTAGCTAAGTGCAAAATTCTCAGAGCCTCTAACTCAGAGGGAGATAATCTCATCTAAATTGCAGTGAGACAATTGAGCTCAATTTTTAATTTATCCCAATAAAACATTTTTCATTTAGATAATAATTGTTATTGTATAAAAACTTACCATTACCTTGATGGTGGGTGTCTCATTTCTTGCAATGAACTGAGTCCTTATCCTTTCTAGTATTTTTTGAGGACACTTTCTTTCTGTGGTGTTTAAAATAACAAAGAATTAATAGTATTTTAGGAAAATGGAAATGATGAAATGCACCGAGGCTCAGTATCTGTTGATCTTGAAATGGCAGGTATTTCAGTGTAATAAAATTAGATTTCACCAAAGAGACATATCCAAAATCTTACAAGAACTTATGAAGATTGAAATGCAGGGTATTGATTGATGACTGGATTATAAAATTATCAATGAGGAAATTTAAATATTCCTTGAATCAAATAGAAGCTGAAACAAATAAATTTTAAAATGCAGAACATCTTGAAGAAAGTTATAAACAGAGGTCCATGGATATAACTGACTGGATTAAACATTCAAGAGTTCTCAACAAACACTACAGTTGTATATTTCCAATGCCTTGAAATGACAAAAACAAAGAAAAGGCAGATCCCAAAAATAGAGAATACATAATAAGATGGTGAGCTGAAATTAATTAGAGATACAAATGGCAATAAAATAACCATTTAATATAATTTATTTAGAAAAGTTAGACTGTGAAACAATGACATACATAGAGAATTCTCAAGCCTGATTTATTCCAGCTTAGATGAACAAGTAAATGTTATAACTGAAATCCTTGAAACACCAAGGATCATAATGATGTATTTTAAAAACAGACATAAAACACTGTAATTCTCGATAAAAATTCATACACGTCTCAACACATATGATCTACCAAAACTGGATCTAGCTGATATGGAAAATATAAACAAATCCAAGACAAACAATGAGCTGGAGGTATTAGACAATTGCCTCTTCTCAAAGAAAGACCAATGACATGAAATATCTGCTGAAAATTAGCAGATTGCACCAGAATTATGGACAATAATGTTGCTAAAGATTTGCACAAAATGAGAAAGGAAGGAATGCTTCATTCATTTTCTAGAGCCAGTTTCAAACTAACAACAGAGGGCATAACAACTGAAGAAGAGGAAATTATAGGGCAATATTTTTGCAAATATCCATATACAATTATTTTTAATTTTTCTTAGAATGTAAATTCAAGAACACAGATATTCCATAGCCACTCATTCATTCATGGTATGCAAGAATGGTGCAAAATGCCACAAATAAAAATTCATAATTCACCACATGAATAGATTCAATCATGAAAATAACAAAATGATGTCATTTGATTGTGGAGAGCGGCGTTAGCTGTGGAGAGCGGTGTTAGCCATAGAGGATCCATGTTTAATCTTACCCTCCATAATATAGAGCAAGGAGACTATGTTATGAGGAACCACGTACTTGCCGAATTAGATTGCCCTGGAACGTGATGAACGTTCTGTAAGCCCGAGAAACAAGGGAGCCCATGAGGGTGGGGAATTCCCAAAGAACTGGTAAACAACGAAGCAGGTGTTTTGGATAAAGGTCATGGTTAATGACCTAACTCACTGAGTGTATAAGAGGGAGGTGAGAATAAACTTGGTTGTTCGGTCTTAGGAGCCCGGACGACTCTGTCTTTTTTCTTTTGAAGTGTGTTTTTTCTTTCATCCTCACCCCTCCTCTCAGGTACTGATCGACTAGTGACGGCGGGTCCCGCCATTTGATGTACAGAAATCCTTCCCAATAGGAAGAATCTTTTAATGATCAAAACACATGCAGTAACTACATAAAGAAGACCAAAGGTCTATATTAATAACAGTTAATTTCAGTATACTCAGAAAATTAAACTGAATGGGAAAACAAAATACATTTATGTTATAATCAGTAGCAAAAAATTTGCTTTTCCCCAAAACTTCTGTTTGGTAGTTTAGTGGAATATTTATCAAAGTAATTAGGAAATTGAAACTAATAGAAATAGGAATAATGTAAGATGTCCAATATCAAATGATGTCAGATTATTCCTATGTGAAAATGCTTTGATTCTTTCATTAGAAGACCCTAAAATCAACAACAGAAAACTTTTGGATTGAAAAACTAATTTATCAAAACAACAGGATCCAGGGGCAGATGATTTAGCTCACTGGTTCTGCCGCCTGCCCTACAAGCACAAGGAGCTGTGTTTGATCCCTGGTACCAAAACAAAAACAAAAACAAAACAACAGGATTCAAATATTAAAATATCTTAATTTTTCCAATCACAAACATTAAACAAAAATAATTCAGAAAATTGTTCTGTTTCTTTTTACAGACATGATCTTACTATGAAGCTGAAGCTGTCATTGAAATCATTATGCACCCCAAGCTGGCTCTGAAACCTCCAAATCAGCCTTCCTCAGCCTCCAGTATGCTGGGTTTACTGGTGGGCACAAACACACCTGGCCCAGGTAATGAATCTTTACAAAATGAAGGGAAAGGTAGCCTTTTCTGCAAAGGGGATATTGACCACACATCCATTTTATACGAATTTCTATTTTTGAGAAATCCTACTTTAGTAACATATAATCATGTTTGTTTCCCCATTCCTTAGAAGGACAACTTGAGACAAAGCAGGCACAGACCAGTCCACCTGTGATAGAGTCCACCTTGAGCAAGATGCAACTTCATACATTGGCTTTCCATATTCAAAGTGAGTCTGCCTATTAGCCCACAGTGGCTGCCTGAAGAGCCAGCAGTTGGTGTATGGGAAAGGAACAACTCATCACACCACTGGTTATGGCAAAGGTCTCAATGATACAGGACACTGATGTCTTGGATGGCAAGACAATAGTGCAGCTGAGGGCAGCATGGCTCATACAGAAAACTCCTACAAGGGCAAAATCCAAAATTCCCATTAATCAATGATATGATCCTACTAGAATACCTTGTTCCCCGGTTGCCAGGAGCCTGCTCCTATCAGTGGTCTCCACTTCAGTGTTCCCTGCACCACCCCTTATCCCTTCTAGAAGCTGTGTGTTCAATAAATAGTGGGAAGCTCAAGAAGAAGGGGTCTTTGGCAGATAAGAGCTTTGACTTTCCTGGGTACCCTATTTATGCATTAAGTTATTGTCTTGTCTTTCTTTAATCCTGTCACTGTACCCTTGCTCAGGTGGTAGGGGTCTCAGCATCCTCCAGTATACTTGTAATAAAACACTGTAACAGGCATATTTCTTGGTAACAGGATCTGTTCTGCCCAGCAACGATGACTTCATAACAACTTGCCAATTGGGATAGAAGGAGAGATCATGCCCCCACGTTTAGAGCATGGCACAGTGATGACAGTGAATCAAGAAATAAAAGTTGGGCTACTTGACTGCTTGGGGCATGGCTGGCTTTGTGTAGCCTAGCAACACACCCTTCTGAACATGGAAAGCCTTACTGAGATAGTTTCAAAGTCAATTAACCACATTGGAAAATTTTTGTCTCACCACTTGGCAACCAGCATAGAGCCCTCAACGCACTTGGAAATGGCCTGCACCCTCCCCTTCAAAGGAGATGTGCTCTGCCTAGTTGTACTGGATTCAAAGATCCTAGATGGTAAGTTCCTCATTTCTGCAAGCACCCACAGGGTAGGATAGTTCTCAGAAATGCGGGGGGTTGGGGGGTTCAGAAAAAAAATAAACTGCTAGAGCTGAGGAGGCAGCCCTGTGCCCAGGTCAAGGTAAAACATTCAAGAATGGGTACAAATTATTTCTTGGTGGTTGAGTCATTCTGAGGGTAGTTTGTGTGTGATTAAGACATATCTCAGACACAAAACTAATGGAGGACCCTGATCCATCTGCAGTTCCCCCAAGAAAATCATTTGAGACAGACATGGTGTTTGGGCTAGAGAGCATGAAATCTCCAGATTTGGGGAGCTTAATCTTCTAGGAACATCTTATACTTAGAAAATGCAGGATGTATAATAATCAAATTTAAACCACTTTAAAGAAAAAGAAACTAAAACTAAATTTCCTCCAAGTAGTCCCTTGGGGGAATTGGTCACATACTGGAACAACAGTGAGAGAACAAATAATACAAATACACTAGAAATGAAAAGCTGTGGTTTCAAATAGACCTAAGAACCTGCTCACAACCTCTTCATGTTAAGGTCTGATGTACATTGGGTCACTCAACTTTTGATAGAATGATCACATTAATGATAAAACATGTGTGTCCTCAAAAGAGGTTATGTCTGAGGTTGGATGTGGGGCTCAGTGAGTGTGTATCCCATAAAAACTGAGAAAAGGGAGAGGAAAAAGAGTAAGTAATGGGAAACCCCCACACCTGCTTACTTCTGCCTTATAACCAGGGGCCAAGCCTACCAGAGCGGACAAATCAAGCAGGACAGAGTAAGCTCTAAAAGAGGTGGAGCAGTCCACCACAGCAGCAGCTGCTTTCTTCCCCCTCTTCATATTCACACCTAAAGGATGACACAGCTGGTAGCATATCATTCTACTGCCAAGTTCTAAGTCACTATTTGCATGTTCATTCCCTCTCCCTTTCATGTTTGAGCCCTCAGATGGCATAGCCACTCAGCTCTCATTGTCTGCACCACAATCTGAGCCACTGTTAGCAACCTCAGCCCCCACCTGTCTCATTACCCATCTGTGCTGAGACTGAAAGAGGAGCTGGAGCAAGGAGAAAAGGATGTTCAAACTGGCCCTTTCCTTCTCTAGGTGAAGAAAAACCATAGTTATTTTATGCCTCATGGAGGTTCCTCTGGTGTGTGGGTAAGATTCCTCAGTGCTGCTGTATCCAGTTCTAAAGTAAGGACTTTAAAAGGGAACTAAACAACATACCAGAAGATCCCCAATGGTGGCTCAACACTTACACCTGTGATTGGACCTACAATTGTACACCTGCCTTAACTACTTTCTGTACTAGGAATTCTATTCCCTTGTTGGAGAATATGGTCAGGAGAGTGGAGAAGGCCTTTGGGACTGAGAACCTCTGGCTTCCCCTGACATCCTTGCTGCAGATGTTTACTTTTCTAAGCAGAAACCATGATGGGATAGTAATGTGACCCAATGGGAGCACATGAGAAACCTCAGAAAATGGATTGTAAAAGGAATAAGGGAGTCATTTCTCTGATCCTAAACAATAACTAGATATTTTAACATCCCCCTTGGAATAT